TGTGGATAAAAAGAAATTGCTTTAAAATCCAGAGTTAAAGACAACCCGTATCTATCTTCTTATTGTAATAACAAAGTTTATTATACACACTAGCAAAATACCAAGTCTGACAAATTGTTCATTCGTTCAGATTTTAAAAAGAGGAAAGAGAGAATGATGCTAAAAAGGAACACTAAACCAACTAACTTGACAACTGCACGCAAAAACTGAAAGCCACAAGGAAAAAAMAGTAAATTACAAATACAAACTGGAGCAATATGTATAACTGCTTTGGCCATTAGTTTAACCAGAATGGTATGGTCAGGTTCATGTGGTCCTGGACTCTGGCTTTTCAACACTTATTCATAAAAATGAATCGACGAAGCATCCGTGTGGTTGGCCTGCCGGCTGGGTCATTTCCTATTTTTTTACCCAGTATATAAGCGCGCGATGAGCAACAATAATAACAAATACAGTGGGCATAGAGCTAACGTAGAAGACGTGTGGGAGAGCAAATGGAATGAAGAAATTGTAGAAGAATGAACTACGGAAAAGTTGATTGATACGATATAGCATATATACGGATTCGAAGTCTTCTCAGATCGATCCACATATAGAAGATGCATTTTACAGGATTATAGTCACAATTTTCATTTTCAAAAAGTGGGCTTAGTAAGCTTGTCAGCAGTAAGGTTGAAAATTGTTTATATTAAATTGTTTCGAAGAGGAATGAAATATTTTTCTAAGAATATGCAATGACAACTCAACTGAGCAAGTCTTTAATATGAAAATTAGATTTAAAGGGTAAAAAGGAAATTAAATCAGTAAGATGGTAGTACAACAATCAGTTGCCCTCAAACAACAGAATCGGTATTAGTAAGAAAAGGAAGTGGAGATGGCATAACCGCCCACAATAATGGCGTCCAAATACCTTCCGGTGAGTGAGCAGAYGAGAGGTGTGCTTGGTTCGGTGACTGCCTTCAAATGTTCATGAAGTGCAAAAAGCCGCTCAAATAGGGTTGTCAGTATTTAACCCGAAAGGGTGGAGGTGCAATGCATACATATGCGCGAACTCTGCTCGCCGACGACCAGAACCTCGCCGACGACTATTGAGTCAGCAACAAGCAACAACCGAACTTACGCATATACTCTCGATGGGTTGACGGGGCTCCAAAGATGCTGAGAGCGCTGCGATTAGTTCAAYTTACAATGAAGCACAAAAGCAACAACAATATTCATCAAACACAGACAGAAAAAGGAGCAATGTTAAGTTGGGCAACTCGATTCAAATCAAACAAACAAACGGTTGTCCAAGCAATTACAACAATACCAATTGGATGCTTCGTGGCACATGGGCTGAGCTCCAACAGTTGGAGCAAAAGAGATCTCAGATGGTCCGGTAAGAATAATGCGACAGTGAATTCCTATACATCGAAGGTGATTTTGAATGAAAGAAAAAGAAGAGAAGTGAGAGCGAGAGAGCATATGTGCAATTCTGATGGCCAATAGGGGCGTACACTCAACTTAAGCGAGCAAGCGCACCGACACGCACTCAATTCAAATGTGGTTGAGTTTTCCGAGAGAGAAACTCAACGAAAGCTAATAACGAGAAGCAGGCAAACGCAAGAGTGCTCATCTGCACTTCTTTTCAGTTCAACTAATGCATGTAGATTCTCAATTTAATATTTTGAGTGAGTTTTTTATTACCACTGAATACCAATTGGAATTTCGTGCAAACAAGAAAAATATAAAAACATTTCCAATAAGAAAATGAATAGAATTAATATGGTGTGGCTTGGCGTCTGCGTTGCAGTATTGAGGTTGCTTGCACAGTAAGAAAATTGTAAACCCCATTGCTCTTTTGACATGGAGCAAAACTGATCCCTGTCTGTATGGGTTAGCTGATATTAGCACCTCTTTTTGTATTCGTTATCGCGCCCTACCACATCGAACGAGGAGGAGCTCTGCGCAAAGTGAACCAAAGCCAGGAGAGAGCTGGCTGTTCAGTAAAGTAAAAAAATAACCTTTTAATCAACCAACCCTGTCCATGAWACTTACTCGTTTATTATCCAATTGTACGCCTGCTCGCCGACCGCCATATCAGTACTCCAGCCCCTCAGTGTTTTGACATTTGCTTACAGACATACATATGTACAAGGCTTAACGGTAAAAAGCCATCCAATACAAAAAACTGTTTCAGTGGCTGACTCAGTGAAAATGGAAGAACTGTTCTCACATTTTTCTTGGACGTCTAGTATGAGAGGCTCTTATTGCCCACTAACCAGCAGCACTAAGCATAGTAAATATGTAAAGTATGTCACTTTTAAATGTAGAGCAAAGTGTTAGTATCAGTATTTGCCCTCTGAGCTGTTAACTGGACTTGAAAGCCGCTGGCATCTCCGAAATTCAAGGCAACATATAGTTGCAACGGTATTTGACGTATTTGCGACGATTGTAAGTTTTGGTTAATAAAAGAGCATATATACATACATATGTATATTCCAGCCTATGTCTAAAACGTATAAAAGTACATTTTAGTATATACATATGTACAAAAGTAAAAAATATTGTGACGTCTGTTGTGCATTACAAAATTTAATTGCAATATTATTAAAAACGTTTGGAGGATGGACATGAGGATCAGCGGTCTAACAAAAAATGCAACATTTACGAAAGGTCGAWGTATATGTTTTGTGTCTTAGGACTCATTATTCAACTTTACTTTACTTATAAATGTCAAACAGAATATAAATGGGCTTTCAATAAGACGGGTATTTGACGATCTTTAATTTATATTCACAAGGATTATATAGTTATTGGTCGGATCGTTCCACTGACTACAACTTTTGGTAGACTTTAAATCTTCTATCACATATTTACATAACATGGAATATGGGCGATGACATGCTTGTAAAGTAGTTTGATGACGAAATTTTTATTTGCGTATTATTTTCTTTAACTTAGTGAAACTTAAGGCAGAGAAAATACATTAGAAAATATTTTTCAGTTCAGACGCTCTTTTTGTACATATTCCCATATTGCAAACACATACACACATAAAAGTCTAACTGTCACGCAAAAATCCAATTATGTGACCTAGTATAATCTAGTTGAGGCTACGGTCAATGGACAGCATAGAAGTAGTCGTTTGGAGTGAACAGAATGCCAAAGGTAACATTTACTTTGTCACTCAGAAACCTTAGATGTCTAACTATTTATTCTTGCTATTGCGGAACATAGAATTAGTTTGATTGTAGAAGTTGTAAGTGTAATAGGATTTAATAGGATTTAAGCTTGAGAGACATTTTAAATAGTAATTCGATTATACAAGTAGAATATTAGACCTTGATTTATAAGCAAATGAGAAAGTAAGCGCTTGCGTGGCTATTCGTATTTTTGAAAAGATTTTGCCAATTATTGAAATTATGTGATCATTTGGGTGTTTCAATGCTTTAATTTTAATGCTAAACACCTTATTAACCAGTCATTAGAGATACCTTCGATTCCAAAGATGGTGAGTGTTTGTAAATCTAATTGGACTTCTGTTGATACCGAGGCATTTGTGTTCTAATTAGTATTCTGATTAGGTGATACCTAATGATGATGATGGTATGTGAGATACATGTACATATATATAACTATGTACATACATGTGTTTAAATATCGGAATTATGAGTATGTGCATTTGGCTGGTTAACGGCATTTCCATAAATTAACCAACCAAAAGCGATGCTGTCAAAGACACACGTTTTAACCAGCGAACGGATGGAGAAACAGCAACACTAACATGGCCAGTAAAGTATCGCCAACTATCATACGAAGTCATTAAAAATTTGGGAGGGATTTAGTGAAGTGGAGTAAAGCTTTCGCTTTAAGTGGCTTTTCGCTCTTATCGAGCGAACAATACTTTTTGCTTATCATTTTCTTATTGTTTTGCGCTTTTTGCGATTAATGTAAAAAAGTAACAAAAGCAACAACGCACTTAGAACCGTCAAGTAGCTGCAACTGAAACAACAACTTGATGTTGTATATTTAAAACGCAAAAAGCCAGCTCACAGATACGAAGTAAATGTACTAATAAGAAAAATGAGTTCAATGAATGCCTCACTTCTTGCACCGCTCTACAACGAACTCGATCTCACACAACCAAACAAACTAATGTTCTCATACCACAACTCTCAGTTCGAAATCTCACATGAAGAAAAGAAGAAAAAAATCTAAGTACGAATATGAGCACTTTTACCTGGTGTGAGTGGAGTGGAAATGTCGTGTCTCCCAACTGCATTGAACCAGCTCTGAAGCACAAACACCAAACACACTGCGAGTGAGTTCTAATGGATGTGTCGACTCTACCAAACACTTTGGGGGTCTTGCCCGGCCATAGAGCGCAGACATAGGCCACGAAATCGCTTATACCACTACAAACAACACCACCAACACTACCGCCACCTCTGGTACATCTGCACCGCCCAGACTCAGCACTTGCGAGTGAGCGAGGCAGTGTAACTTCCACTCAAATTCGGTAACCATCTGACGCTGGATGTGCGAGAGGTGCAGACAAATGAAGGCACGATTTAGATTTCAGGGTGGTTGAATGAGGCTAGCAGCACTGCTGCTTTTGGCTTGAGCGTATGGTTGTTTATCTTCGCTCAGAGCTCTGTGTCAGTGTGTTTTATATTGCGCTCATAGTGGCAATGTGGTAGCATTGAGTGGTGGAATGAGAGATTTGTGTGATGTGTCGTTAGGTCGAAACGGTCGAGTCGGGTCGGGTCGTGTACCTTTTGCCACGAATGTTTTGCCAGTCAGGCTCTAAAAGGCCTTACGAAAACAGTAAAAAATTTTAGTTCGCATGACGCGCATATCTTCCGAATCTTTGAATAAAGTTATTCTTATATCTAGTTGCGTAGTTATGTCAAGAAGGAGAATATCTCAATTTTTACAAAGTGTGTAACAATTAAACAAAAAATAAAGATTTTTACAAAATCAATTAAATACATCAATTTGAGAAATTCAATAAAATATACGCGAACTGTGATTCAGAATATATAAATTGTAAAAAAAAAAGAAATGTTGATTAATTCTTAATATATTTTCCAGCGCAGCAACGCGTTGTCTACAAAAAGTGTTTACAAGAAAATCTTTTCCGACCATAAAAAATAATAAAGTGGAAATATACAATGTATATGAGTGTTTTGAAAAGAAATTAATTCATCATTCAAAAAATGAATGCTGGCTAAAAGAATATACAGATAAAATACAAAATTAAATGGATTGACAGTTCTGATGTTTTGCRTATGTTTCATTTTGTGAAATTAAAAAAGTATTAAAAAATCACGCAGTGCGAATAAACGCGCCAATATACACTTGATTACAATACACATATATACACCATCTGGGCTAACCAGTAAAACGGTACCGTCCCGTCTACCGTTGACGGGATATTTGCAAAGTGCATACTTCATTTCCCTCTTACACCCCGCAAGCCGCCAAAATGATCACTCACAATTCGTTGAGCGTGTATGGTGGCGGCGTCATGTGCGCGTCCCCATCCACTGCTCCTGGTTTCTTTAATCCCCGACCGCAGTCCGGTGCAGAGCTGTCCGCTTTTGATCTCGGTCTACCCCGCTCCATGGCGCTGGGCGTTCCACCGCCCTCTGCATGGCACGATCCCAAYCTCGGCGGCCATTTGCATGCTTCCGCTGGACCCGGCTCGTTGACGGGCACAGCAGGTGCAGGTGGCAGTTCGGTGAGCACTGGCGGCGGCACAACACCATCAAGCGTTGCCAGTCAACAGTCGGCCGGTATCAAGCAGGACATTTCTGGACTGGCGGGTGCCGGCGGTCAATCCAATACACACAACCAAAGCGGTCACCATGCAATCAAAGAGGATCTCTCCAGCCTGACGGCGGCTTCAGCAGCGGCTAGTGCAGCAGCGCACCATGCAGCGGCAGTACATCATGCCGCGGCTGTCCAACAAAATCATGGCCAGGAATTGGGAGTCATGATCAAAGGCCAACAGGCGGGATCGAGTTGTTTAGGTGCGAGCAGTACAGCGGGCGGGGGAGGAAATAGCGGCGGCGGCGGTGGAAGCACAACGCCTAGTTCCCAGGCGAATAGTTTACATTCACAGAGCAGTAACAGCGACTCGAAACAGAACATGGACTGCAAACAAAACATCGAGTGTGTGGTGTGCGGAGATAAGAGCTCCGGCAAACACTACGGCCAATTCACCTGCGAAGGTAAGTGATTATACATTTTTATACCTACGCACATATGTATTTAGCAAAATTCGTGGTAAAAGTAGATTTAATTGCCCTAGTGATGAAGTTCCTATAATTTTAGATATAGTACACTGAGATTATAATTATTAATTCAAATGTTAAAGTCGTGAATCTTACTGTATTACATTGGCTTRTGATTACAAATAGAATTAAAACGCAAAAAACTTTATCGCCACTGCATATCATGCGCCCAATCTGATACAATCGTTGACCCGAAATAGAAAACACTCACTACAAGTCAAAAGCGTTATCAAAATTTCCAAATCGCAAATCAAAAAATGTCATTCAATATGTCACGTGAGGGTATGCAATGTAACGCAATGATGTTTCAATTGCCATATTGCCAATAAACCATAGGCTGATGAATGAGCAGAGTCCCTCGAAAGTGTGGCTGTCAAAATCATATGTGTTGGTGTGTTTGGGRGGGTAAATGCGAAGTCATTATAGACTGATATTCACGATTCATAACTTTAGCATTATTTTTCTCTATTTGTTTGAAATAGTTAACAAATAGTTGAATGCAGCAAATCAGCGAAGGACTGGTAAGCGCGACCAGATGACAAGCGGTTTGCAGGGTTGTACGAATGTACAAGTATATGTATATAGGTAAGGTGCCACGCTCTCGATGATGACCAAAGAGAAACCCCTCCAATAGACGGACGGCGGAAACCAGACATTCGTATAGTTTGATAGTTTGATAGCTCAATGCTTAGTCGCCAGTGAGAAGCGGGAATATTTGGCGGCACAGGGGGCCTAAACTGCGGCGTTGTTCCATTGTTGCTGATGCTGCGAAGCGTGCCTGCCGCTTTCGTTGAATTTTGACAGTTCTAGTGAATTATGAGAGTTTGATGAGTTGGCGAAAGCCTACACTACAATAACAATACGTCCATAAAAAAGTGATACGTGCGATTGAATAACTGATCCGTTATTGCGCACATTGAATAATGTTACTAAATAATGCTTAAAAAAATCATCAGAATAAGATTGTGCGCTTTTGGCATGTTAAGTGGTGCTTAACCGGTGGGGCCCCATTTCGAACTTTTATGATGTTGATGTTGAAAAAGCGCCAGCAAATTACTGATGAATTACTTCAATTCAATTATGAGGCATTATAATCGCCTAGAAAGGCGAGTCTTCATATGAATGTGTTAAAAAGTCTTAATGAAGGGTAATCTAAGTGAGGCTAACAATAGCACATTTCTGTCGCACAATCGGAAGAACTCCAGTTATCTCCGTCGGCTCCCCACTGATTAACCGATAAGATAAGAAGTCAGAGTCATCTGGCGGGCAATCAGCTACCAACCTAACAGTTGAGCAGGCGGCCCCCGCCAGCATCGCGATTAAACACACAAAGCGCTTAGGCGGTTCGCGCGCCTGAATTCACGAATGTCTCATTTCATATCTAGATAATTGCAATTTTTCAAAAGCAATTATTGTGCAAACATGCAAATTACACACTTAAGTGCGCGCCTTCATTCTAAAAAATCCGGGGGAGACCACACGGACGAATGAGCAAGTGTTTGTATATACATACATAAATGTAGCAGATCTGATAGTAATACTCGCTTCATTCTGTTTACCACACCAAACTGGCTTCATGCAGAGGTAGTTGAGGCAGGACAATGAAAACTGCATACTGAGAGGACGCTGAAAATTCCATTATTATCAATTACTTAGAAAGAAAGACGTGCATGTATATGTATGGAGGTAAGACAAATATAAACTTCTTAGACATATAGAAACGACACTTTTTATGATATAATACAGTATCACAAAGTCCACAGTGTCGGCAAACTTCTGCTAAGTCAATCTATGTCCAGCGCGAGATGGTCACATGAAAGCGTACTAAGCTTTTGGGATGTTCTCTTTTTCTTACATAGTTACGCATATTTCCGCTTATTACTATTGTTGTTGTTTTTAAGAGGTTCTTCAAGATATAGCAGAGCTGATAGCAATCATCTTTTACGAATCTTTATTTTTTCTTACTCATATCTCGTATGGGCAACCCTACACGTACCCACACAGACGCAGCTATACGGAACTCTACCCAAGCACAGTCAGAGTGCAGAGCGGAGTAGAGCGTGCGGTTGCCGCGGCAATTCTTAACACTTACGCGAGGTGCATACAATAAGATCGGCTGCTGATAGCAAGCTTTAAGCTGTTGTGGCTTCAGTTGGCTAGAAGTTGGGATTGAGCGTGCAACTATTTGTTGCAAAAGTTATGTGCGGTTACAAACCGAACGCACAACACTGTTGGGCAACGACTATGAACTTGCAAAAACCATAAGCATAAGCAGATACGAGTATTAGGGCATAACATTTCCACAAAGATATTCTTCTGCAAATGTTAAATGAAAGCATGTGATCATCGTGCCTAAATTGCTAATCACTTTGTTTGTAGAACAGCGTGCCAAATTTKTTATGAAGCTTAGGAAAATCTCAAAAACTTTTAAATATAAGCCGGCACTCTCCTGAATATTTACCACCGATAACAGCATGAGCCACAATTGCACGAAGGGAACTATGCGTGTTCATTTCGTTTTCTCGTCCACCTCACAGGTATTCCCTCATCTATGTGAACAACGCAAAGATTCCGTCGTATCTGCCGTATGGCATTGTTGTTTTTGTGAATTCTTTGTTTGGTGCTCAGTGCTTACGTTTGGCCTAGTCATGCCCATGTTGTGTTTGTATCCATATGGATGTGTGCATGCTCAAACGTTCGTATGGCCAGTCAGTGCCCGTTACTGCGTTTGTTGTTCTTGCTTTGGTTGTTGTTGTGTCTATGCTGTTATATGTCTGCTGCTTGCACACCTCAAATGCTTTCATGTCATGCCAAGCCATCCCCATCTCAGCGCAAGACGATGAAACCTTACTGCGGCGTTGTCTCATTCTCTGCCACCTATCCCAACTGGCTTTTCTTATATGTCTGTACGTTCATGTGTACACACATATGTATGTATGTAKTATGTAAGCTCATACCAATCTACCGACATGCTCATACAAGAAGATTAATTGTGGCAAACGCGATTTCTTTTAAAAGTACCCACAGATATCTGGCAAATATAAGCACATAAGCGCACGTAAATGAAAATTGCAGTGGTGATGGATACACTGTACCGAAAAGAGCTAAGATCAGTTGAGTAGTCGTGCTGGACACGGTGTCTATTGCGAAAGGACATGTAGGAATAGATGGATAGACGTGCCGTTGTGCCCCTATGAAGATAAGCCGATTTTTCTTATTTCATATTTGCGTTTTTTTCTTTTTATTGAAGCGGAAAGAAGAAAGTCAATGGGGTACTTCATACTTGTACATCCACCATTAAGAAAATGTGCCAGCAACAAATGCTTTTGTGGAGAGCGCGGAGAGTTTGTTGTGCCATTCTGCTAAGTATAATAAAATATTCTAGTTTACTCAACCTTTAATATTTAAATTTCCTTAARCAACTAATTTTATAGGTGTACGAACATAATTCGATATTTAAGTAATATAAATTGTAAATTCACAACGCGAAATTCCTAAGAAATTGACTTTTGACATGTCATACAATCTGCTAAAAATGGCACCTATGAACGGTGAAGCGCTCACATTTCGACTTCACAAAAAATCTTCTCCCCCTTGGTCCTAATTGTAGTTCATCTTATACATACATGGAAGAACTTATAACGGCTGATAGAAAATATGAGCAACTTCTCTTGATAGGAGTACTGAATTTCGTCTATTGTTTTCAGAAAACCTTCCTCAGGTTGGTCGCAGACTGAAATTGTAACCATGTTGTGACTCATTCATATGGTAAATTTACAAAATCCCTAAGGACACACACCTTAAAACAACATTCATTGCTTGTTTGAATTTGTATCTTTTATTATAATATTTGTTTGTAATTTTATTTATCTTATAAAATTAATAATAGCCAAAATTAATAAAAATCCAATAATTGGAAATACCCAATATTTTTGCTTGAATGTTGGCGCCTTTGTTCTTTGAATTCATTTTGATAACGTTTGTTAAGCTCCACCGAAATATCACATAAATCATGTCTGTATGTACACACCGACGCGCAAATAATTTTCGTGTGTGAAGAGTCTAACTGAGGCGTAGTATCTGATCATGTGCGAAAACACTCATTGGCACAAAGAAACATGCACACAAATGTAAAGGGCAAAGCATTTAAGTATAAATAAATAAATATGAAAAAATATGMGCAAATAAGAGAAAACTAAGAGCCCGCAATAAGTAAATATTGCAATGAGGAGTACAACAACGCCCACTTATTACTGCAGATTTTCAGCTCAAGTCTGCCTTTACACAAAAAGAATGTTAATGAACAGAATCGGAAGACACTGAGAAAATTTATTAACTGATGATATCCCCTGATTCTCTTCCCTTCTCGTGACCTTCGGATCGAATGCAACAATTAGTGCGGTGGACATTTGGTTGATTTCTTATTAGTTCGAGCAGGGAAATTTGAAATTGAATTTTGAACTTCTCTATAAGCACGCATGCAAATAACATCAAAACATGTCACTACTACTACCATAAAAACAGGATTTTGTTATTTTGAAGCAATTCTCCCACCCCATGTACACAGTCTGAACTTATGTTTTGCATAAGCATAACAAATTTTGATAAATTATTGTGCCAAAATAGCGAAGCTCAAGCGACTTTAAGCCGCATTGGTTTTCCTGCGTTAAATGTTGTGAGATCTGCGCAATGAAGGTAGTGAGCGTTGAAGTTCCTGCTCTACGATGTCTTTGTTGAATTTTTTATACTGAAATAAATCCAAATGAAATGCTGCATTATATGCCCAGACAGACTGACGAAGGTATACGGACGGACAGGAGTGCAGTGAAAATATGTGCATACGTGAAGGGGGCGGTACGGCATTGTCATGAGCATGTTAACGACCAAATAATAAGTCACYGAAGAAGAAGCACACAGTTTTTGCCTGCAGAAAGCAG